ACTATTATTAATATATTGTGCGTGGAGAAAATCAACATTTTATAATTGCCGATCCGAGTTATATTCCAATCTTGTCGTTTCAACAGTGTTGTATTATGTTTGAAGTAAAGCGAAATGTTATGGGAATGTTGAACAAAGTTTCAACTGATCATCCACTTTGGTATGCAATCCCGAGTTCGGTTTTACAGTTCTTCATCAGTATTCTCTCCACTTTCCCTTGTTAACGATCAGTCACTGCTGGTCCTTATATAGATTCTCGACCCGGTATTTCCAGTGATTAACATTGTTCCGAGTCGTCCTTTGCCTCTCTTCCTTTCAATTATTTTTCAATAGTTTTGTGTTGTAGTTTATAGTTTTATTTATTCATATATTTTCTCTATTATTTGTTTCCACTCGTATATGGATATAATCTGTTTACTATTACTTAGACATAGGCGTGCACAGATCTGTTTTCAGGGGGTGTCTTTTATTCGTTTGGGCCCTTTCTTAACGAAACGTGTAACATAATTTTAATTTTTTATTTAATATCGTGGTATATAAGTCCCAATGAATATTTTTTCCTTGAATCTCGTATATTTTTTGAGATAGCTTCAACTATTTATGATTTGTATTTTTGTAGTTAATAACTGCTGAACATACACTAGCTGTTACATTATTATAGTAAATTTTTGCACGAAAATGTAGAGCATTCTGTTTATTCTGTCTATTATGAAAAATCATTTATTTTTTACCGATTATTTTTGAATAAATTACATTTAATTTGAACAAAATCAGTTAAAATATTGGCCCCTTACTCTTAAACTTATATTGTAGGGCTCCATTCACAACATTTCAGGGGGTGCCCGAGCACATCCGACAGGTACAGGTTATATAAATATATTATAACGATCGAGTGGCGAACGGGTTGATGTCAGAAACGCGATAAATATAAAAATGCCATACCGATGGCCGGGATGTACAGATAACAGGAGAACGGATATGCCTCGGTATTATTAGTAAAACAAGGGGACATGAGCCGGTAACGGATCACACCCAGAGAGAAAGAGAGAAAGAGAGAGATTGTTCTTATTATCAACACTCATAGTTATTGGTAATCACGAGATTTCTTGCAACAGAGTGCTCTGCAATTCTCGTGTAAATCGAATCAAAGTTCCGCTTCGTCGGACCGTCAGGTGTTATTTTAAATATTGTCGTCCGGAAACTCTTTGGAGTTTGCCTGCGTTTCCCGTGCTTCGAATTTAAGCTTTCATTGTCGAATTTGGATTGAATTTTTTCAACGATGAATATTATACGATGAAAATCTTTCCGCTTCAGATATCACATGGAGACGTCAGAAAATTTTAATATACATAATTGTTCAGAGCATTGTCCATTGTTGTTCTCGCGTGCACCCGTTCGCAGTACGATTGTTATTCGTTCGCACGGTCGAATTGCACTTATTTTAGTCGAATTGCAGTTGGGTTTAAAAAAGGTAATAGTCGAACTGCACTTGGGCCCAAAAAAGTATTTAAATAAAATTATCATGCATTTGAAGGGGTTAGATTTATTTTATTTAGTTACATTTATTACCATTTAGTTATCATTAGCGTGGTTAAAAATTATTATTTTATACATCACATTATTATATGTTAATTATATATATATTTACATTATAATTGTTAGATTATACATTACATTATATTATATTATACATATTATTATTATTAGGTATACATTTTTTTTTAATTGTCAAATTTAATTATTGTCATTATTATAATTTTTTTTGTCATTTTGATCATTTTTTGTAATAATGACTAACTGTATTCAACAATTCTACCCTGGTAATACGCTTCTGAGTATATATGTCATTATTATATAATTTTATCTGCGTTATCTAAATGACACGAACTAATATATAATGCTATTTAATAAGTACGCTGTAGCGTTCTTCAATAGAAAGATTCGTAATATTTTTAGAGGGTTTTCCATTATATCCCTTTTTTTGAACGAGTGCAGTTTGACCATTACCTTTTTTCAGTCCAAGTACAATTCGACTATCCCGAATAGTGCAATACGCGATGCAGCAGATTTACAGAACGCAGATCGATTTTTCCAGTGTTGTTATCATCCTGGATCAGCCTACGAATGTTCGGCAACATGATCAACACATTGATTAAATTCATATGTTCAACTGTTGATAAATTTACGACTTATGCTAACGGACCAGCATATTGATATTTTTGCCACCCAACGGCCTATTAAATGACTTAATTATCTTCTCTGAATGGAATTTATTTGAATTTTGCTCTGAATTTTTATGTATATACATAGAGTAGAGAATGTACAATTAAAAACAAATTTTTTTTTATGTGCTCACCAGTTAAATGTTTCTATTTAGGAAATTTTATATACATCATATACATTCACTACATGATATATTTTACTCAAACAATAAAACTTTGGCTTCACATTGTTTTGTAGTTTTGTAATTTAAAATAAATAAATTATCAGAAAAATATTCCACTTTATATTGTTAAATTTAAAATAGCGTTTAAGAGTACAATTTTATTTTTACTGACTCGCAGCAAATCGACTATGTCTAACGTGAAAAAATTCAATATTTGAAAGCTATTTGATGTCATAAATTTACATTATATCTTTGATATAATATTATATTCATATGTACGTATGTAGTGATCACACCATTACGTACTCAGGGTTTATATTTATCGATAAGTATACAGGTATGTTTCGTGTGATAATGGAAAAACGGATAAATCATGATACTCAGCTCTGATTCTGCAGTCTATAGTTTAGATATATTTTTTATGAGCATTTATTCGCTGTTAACTTATATATGTTAATTATTATTTTAAAGTAGATATAATTTAATATCGTTATTGTTCGCACGTGTATTTTTTTCAAATCGAATAAAGTTGTAATCTGTTACTAAGTGAACGTTATATTGAAAAACTGCTTGGAATAATGTCGCTTTGTTTTTGTTTTCTATTCTATTGTAAAATTTATCCACCACAGCGTACAGATTGTTTTTGAAATGCGTTCGGTTTTATAATTTAATTGGTGCTTGTTAGTTTTGAGAAAATATTCATATTGCCATCAAATGTATTGTTCGTTCCGGTAAGTATGTTATGATATTATATTAGTATATTGATCACCACAACCATGAAACAATGAAAGATATATTCTACATTATTGGTTCCAACATTCGTGTTGATGGGGATACATCAATGAACACACATTTGAAGCTAAATTCAATTGTGGTTGATTTATTTAAAAATGTCTTAAACGCATGAGATTAGAATATTTTAGATTTAAAATGTTTTTTTAATAATACAACTCATCGTACACGTACTGTGCGTCAAGTTGGTTCCGTCGTATTAGCTCCTGGATGGGTGACCACGTGAGAAGTTAACAACGTGTTTTGATTAATACCGATAAAGGAACAATCGCGGATCAAAGAGAAAGAATCTCATCCTAGTTTACCAACTGAGTGCACGCCGACGTGATGCGCTTAATCTTCATATAAATGCTGGAACGGTTTTCTGTACAAGCAATTATGTTCATTTGCAACGGAGATGGTCTTGTATATAAACACTGCGAACGTATTCGGCTAAAAATCTATTTTATTATATCTATTATTGTAAACAAACAACTGTTCCGAATATATGTGTCTGGGGTGCAGCAGGTTATATACAAAACCAAACGGAAACCGGAAGTTATTACGAGCGATTGTATTATCCATCGCAACGTGTTATATACTCGCATAGACGGTTCGATAGATAATATTGCGTGTAGTCGTATCAAAAACGTTTGATTTCTTATTGAGATATTAAAATCATTTATCCTTAGGCTGTTGGGGGGGGGGGATTATTTCCACAATTAGATAATTTTACATTTGTTTTGTATACTCCTAAGCTTTTTTTTTTTGTGTGAGCCGACGGCGTCGGGAGACGATTTTTCTATTACTTCCCCGACGCCGCCATCCTAAGGTAAAATAAAAAAAAATACCTATAAACTACCACCGAAGAGAGAGGGTGTTAACTATACCATACCGCAAGTGGTCATGGTGCACGTCACGTCTAGCCCTCTCTCTCGCCCGGTCATCATCCTCCTTTCGGAATATGATAGCCTCCACTAATGCCACAAACGCGTGGCGTTGGCGCATCGTCACCACCAAGATGCGAGCCCTTTGGCCCGCCTTGTCGGGGAGGATGTTGGGGTCAGGACTACAGCGGAAGTCCTAGACGTCCAACTCCCTCACCACCCGCCCATCTGGCATCACGGGCATTGCAGCCCTCACACCATCCCAGTGCGAGCACTGGAAGATGGTGTGGGCCGCCGTGTCTGCCGGGTTGAGGCAGTATACGCATGTCGGAGTGGGAGCTCTCTTTCGACGGCAGAGGTATTCCCGGAAGCAACCGTAGCCGGTGAGCGCCTGGGTCAGTGCGTAAGTCATGACGACCTCCGCCTCGACCCAGCGCCCCATGACGGTAGCAACTTCCGGGTCCACGCCACTTTAGGAGAACTCTCTCAGCGCTTCTGCCACTCCGACAGCGTGACCGTCCTCTTTCTAGCCCGGATTGACGCTATCGCGGTCTCGGGCTTCTCTTCTCTGGCTGCTGAGATCCGGCATGCCTCCCTCGTTAACGCGTCAGCCGGAGGCGTTCGGGCGAGAAGCAACGCCGCCTCGTCGGACACCGTGCGGTATGCACGGGTCACGCTCAAAGCGATGTGGCGTTACATTCTGACCATGACGGCACGGTTTTGCGCCGTGGCCGTCGCCGCCTCAGCCCACACCGGAGCCGCGTACAGTATCTTTGAGAGGACCACACTTGTGAGGAGGATCCTCTAAGCCTGTGACGGGCCACCGATGTTAGGCATGAGCCACCCGATCGCTTGGGTCAATTTGTACATCGATGTACCGGAGGGATTTGCGGTAATGGACGTTGTGTCCGTTTACCTTCACCTCCGACATCGTGTACGCCCACTTTTTAGTGATCATGACCACCTCCGTCTTCTCCGGCGCCAGCTTCAGGTCGCGACTGCTCATCCAGTCCGAGGACCAAACCCTGTGGGACACTATTACTGACCTCCCGAGTCCGCAGTCCACCATTCCGATCGCCCTCTGGGACCAGGAGCGTTCTCCTGCTGACGTACGACCGGAGGACGCGTACTAGGTACGGCGGTATCCTCCTCGCCAGCAATGCCTCGTCTATTTGCTGCCAGGACGTCGTGTTGAAGGCATTCCGCACGTCAAGTGTGATTAATATGCAGAGCCTCCTGTGTTACACGGCGTACGAGGCAGTCCTCCTGGCGGCCTCCAGCACGGTACGGATCGCGTCGACAGTTCCGTGACCACGCCGGAAGCTGAATTGGTTTTCGGCCAGTCCACCGGTGGCCCCGAGGTGCTCCTCCAAGCACCCCAGTAGCATCCGCTCCAGCAGTTTCCCCGTCCCGTCGAGCATGCACAGATGCCTATTATAGGCTATAATAGCTCGACAGTATACTCCTAAGCTAAAATAGATAATAGATACCTAAGTCCTTGTTATTACGTCATTATATAATTTTTTTCTTCTTTTTAATATAGGAGATATACTATTACCGTTATTTTATGATTGCAAAATATTACAATAGAGACTTGAACAATCACTATAAACTTAACTAATAACTGTCGTTTTTTTCGTATTCACTCGTGTACATGTTTATTGATGATTACTAATTTCATTTTGTAGTATAAATTACTCCTTACGTCATTTTTACTTACATTATTTGCAGTCTTATAAATTCAGTTTTCGAAGCATAAAGCATTTTCAAAACTTTCTCGCATTTTAAACTGTATACAGTGGCTTAAAAGGGATTCCTCTATCAGGGAAATTTGGTGGAAGGGGACTGGTTTACATAGATATATAGATTATACTAAAGAGGAATCTGTACCGTTCTATAAAAACATTTTCAAATAGGTCTTAAAAAATAGTTTACCATTTTGACAAAGCCTAATTAAAATCGATTTTTAATAATAATAATAAACTATACTAATGTTGAATATACTATACTCGAATTTTTATGACTATCGTCTAGCAGCAGTGATAACTTGTATTGTGCGATGACTTATATTTAAATCAAGGGTTCGATAACTGTTTGGAATGTTAGTAAAGTCAGTTATACGTATTTGATTTATTTTCGCACAATATAAAATGATTGCTTTTTGAAGTTATCAACAATAATGTAGTGTTGTGAAAAAATATATGTTGTGCTTACTGTGAGATTTGTTGACTGGCGGAATTTTATGTGTATTGAAAATATAAAAATAAGGCTCAATTTTACAACTTTTAAATTAAATATGTAGCTCATTAGCGAGTTGGTTGATTGAAATAAAATTATTTTTAATCGGTTTATATGCGTAAAATACTATTAGCTTAAAATAAAATCACGAGAATATATTCAAATTAGTTTTTGAAAAGTATTCATTCCATAAACTTTATAGTTAAATAAATACGTTGCATAAATGGTAATTTAACTATATTTAGAAATTCAATGTATGTATTATGGAATAAACTTTCAAGCCTAACGTTTGTGATAAATATGATATTTTATAATCGGTTACTAATCGTGACTGTTGCCATAAAACTGTGTGAATAATAATAGTCTTAATTTAATGATAAAAATGTGTTGTCCATTGCATTCGGAGTATTTTTGTGACGTTACCGGGAATCGAGTGAGGTTATAAGTCCAATATGATAATGAAGAAGTAAGAATGGTTTGTGTTTAGATTTGGGACTTAGGAAGTACTTGCGTATTTACTTTGCTGTCATTAAATGTATTACGTTGAGTTGCTATTGATTTGAAACGCATTAAAATCTAATCTAAAAGTATTAGTATTTTAAGATTGACTATAGACGCACAACCTGTGACCAATGAGCATTTTTGCGTAAAGTTTTGTCCCTCATTTTATCACCCACCATAGAAATAGTAATGCGATTTGTACATTATTATTATTATTATTTTAATAGGACATATGGTGTTTTCGAAACGATGAAATCAAGAAAAGAAAAAGAATCGTTTCGAGTTTAACCGTCGACTTATTAACTAATTCGCGTATAGTATATATATATCATCAAAACGTTACAATCAATTAAATTAATTGTAAGTTCTTTTAGTGAACAACGCGCGGAACTCGTTGCAGAATTATATATAATATATATTACTTAGAAGCAAATTCGTGAATATAACTACTATGCGCTTAAACACATACAGACATGGATATATATAAATACCATACAATGTTCACAGATATGTTTAATTCACTAGGAGATGTTTTGTTTTTGGGTATCGACCCTTACGGGAGACTGCGGAAGGCCTATGTACTAGATAATCCGACGACGCACTCCGAAAACGTTTAATTAATCATTCCTAGTCTCAAGCTTACATCTATACGCGCAACTCTCTTAAGTGTGTGAGCTGTGTGTGAGACCATGTAGAATTAGAGCAGAGCAATCCGATTAAAGAAAATATCATATATCCGTACTAGAGAAATAAATGTAAACCACTTATGGCAAGTCGGCGTTGACAACAGAAAGAAAGGACTCATTGTTTGTGATAAAATTTAAAAAAAAAAATGTAGTTTTTTTTCTTCTGCTACTGACTAGTCGAAATACTCCCGTAGACAATAGCTGCAAGGGTAGGAAGATTGGAATAAACACGAGTTCTGTGCGCAGTATACTGTCGCATTATTCTGCACAACGCAGCCGGATTACCGTGTACATGCGATTAATTACATCACATCGTGACATAATTACACAACATACTATACTGTATAGGACAGTAGTTTTCAGAAAAAGAGTTTTTCTCGTTCAAGCTTTCCATAGGGTAACGACATGCGCCGTGCGTGAAAAAATGTAATCGAATAAGACACATGTGGGACGAACAATCATTCGGCTCTTTATTGTCATTCGATTACTTAAATATATATTTTTATTTGAACGACGCAGCGAGATGCATAAATAAATGTATACAATTTTCACTCCGTGACTCCCGAGGGAATACGGACACGCACGCAGTTTGGGAACCTCTGTTATATTGTGCATTGTGCAGAGTGTATTTTTAAAGGTTTGTCACTGATTTTTTCGATCAAGTAATGTTTTTGTGAAGGAATATTTTTATTCCCATCATTATTACCTGTAGAGATTTCTTGAGGGTATTCTTATTTAAAATGTAACAGCGTGCGTTGACAGTTTTGGAATTGAATGTTAATTGGTTGACACACAGGTAACTATTGGACGCAATATGGTACTTAAGAATGTAAATATAGGCGATAAATTAATTAACCGATTATCGGACCGTTGTAGCGTGAACTTCGGAACACTCGTGAAACTTAAATAAGACCGAGAAACGTGGAGCACATTAAATTAAAAAATAAAACATTGCAGCCAATTTAACCAAATCGACCCCGAAAATCGAGCTATATACATAGTTTCCTTACGCAAAAATTGATATGCATTTTATTTTATGATTTTAAGCATGATATATCACTGAAAACTTGGGAGGAATATAACTAGTAATGGTTAACGGTGACTAAATTTGGTCATTGCGATAATGGTGACAGCTACTTCAATGTCACAGCGACTTTTAATGGTGACTGGTCACCATTCGTTTTGAGTGATAAATATTTAAGTAACTCTGTTATCATCATTGAGTATTATATTGGTTTAATTAGGGTGGCCTCAAATATGGTTTTATAGTCACTAACTTACAGTTATTTTTAATGGTGACTCGACATTACCTATAATATGTTTTTGATAATTATAAAATATTATTGTCACTAATCAAAGGCACAAATAAAGGATATTATACATATTCAGTGGGTAGCTTACTAGTTACTAGCTTAGTGCTTAAGCATCTAGAATATATTTTTTAACATACCTACGAGTTACGATGGCTATAGCCTACAAGTTACTTTTTATTTTTACTTTTATTAATATTCAATTACTAACTATCATTGTCGCAAATAATAATATAATATTAGTGTAATAATATCACCTGTTTACTGTTACTCATGATTAAAGATAGTATTAGATTAGAATTAGAACTGATAAAACTGATAACAGTCACCACAGTCACAGTTATTGATACATCGAGAATTCTAAGTCACCAAAGTCGCTTAGTCACCATTTATTTTTGAAATTGTCGCAGTGACTAACAGTGACACTGATAGCATGATTTAAGATAATACTGGTTAGATGACGAGTGGAGAAAATTAATTTTTTTGTGACTGGTAAACTGAATCGCCATATCAGTAGTTGCTATAGAACTAATGCGTGGCGCTCCCAATGTTTTTTTTTGTGAACTAGATATTATCATTTTTCCCGGGCTTTTAAAATAAGATTTAAAGTGGGATGGCTGATGCCCATTTAAAGCATGATTTAAAAATTTAAGATATATATATTTATCTTAAATCATGATATTATAAAGCATGAATTGTTTGTATTGAAACACCTAGTTATTCATATAATACGATTTTTACAATTGTTTTTATCCATTCATATATTTACGAATATAATATATTTTAAATATTATATATGAAAATTAAATGATGTATTCCATTTTGCAATGAATCAAATTCTAGTACTCTTAAAGTACCTAAAAATTCATTTGATGTATGGCAAAATTCCCTAAACATTAAATTGAAATCAAATTCAAGAATTTGTGAGATACATTTTAAAAAAGAAGATGTTATAAAGACATGGGTTTCAGGTAGCAAACAAGAGAACCAGTATACAGTATGTACATTTTATTATTATTATTACTATATTACTTCAATAGGTAGATACTTAAGTATTCTAAAATATCATTGTTTTTCAAATGTTAACTAAGCCATGTATAGCTATAATTTTAATTGATTTATGATATGTTATAAAAGACCAAAACTTCGGGAAGGAGCTATTCCTACAATTAGTGTTACAACAGAACAAAATGTATTGACTGATTTATCAACTTCAAAAATGGTACTGTATTATGTGTTATTTACTAAGAAACATATAATATGTAAATATAAATGAATCAATAAATTATACAGAAAGCAGTGATCAATCAATTTTCGTCAATTCTAATTGTAGTTACTCAATCTTATTGATGTCACTAGCAATAGGTATTGATTTTTATAAACAAAAACATGATGAAGTTTTCAAAGACTCAGAAGAAACTGTAAAATTTACATATATAATTAATGACATTTTTGATGCTCTAAATAGAAAATACCCATTAGAAGGAATCAGAAAAAATAATAAAGATATACAGGTTTTTTATGTATTGCATGAAAATTGAGAATGTTTGTGTATTAACTTTACTGTTTGAGTGTCTATATGGTGTAATGGTGTAATTAATAACTTGTCCTGGGAGACATATGTTTTGTTTACACCTACTAAATTGTTCTGTTTTCAATTGTGTATATTTAATAGCTGTATGGTATACTTAAGTATACACCTAAAAGTTTATTATTGTAAATCATAAATTAACATTTTATATATATTTTAATTATACTTTGTTTTTAAAGGTTTTGATTAATGTTGGATGCAAACATTAAATATTGATTATCCATCTGCCACTGAAGAAAATTGATTTATTTAATTGTTCTAGGTGTTACGTCAAGCCATAGTTTGGTTAGATGAGTGGGGAAGTAATGTATCACTAGGATTAATCCAAGAAAGATATTTTTTAACACGACAGACTTATGAAGGACTTAGGATAACCATATAGTCGACAATAGACTTGGTTGAATATCTTTTGGATAAATGTGAATTTTCGTATGTTCTAACAGCCAAGTGTAATCAAGACAATTTGGAAGAAATTATGATTTAAAACAAAAATTGTTTTAGAAATTAATATTCAATAACATTAATATTTAATTAAGACTATTACCTATAAGTTCAAAATTATGATTATTGTGATTAATTTTTTAGATAGTAATTTTGATTTTTAGAAATTTTTTTGGAATAACCAGACAAATTGCAGGTCCGAATGATTACGCAACCACGCCAACATTTCTATAACTATATCGTATGCTTTCTATTTATTAAATTATAAAACCTCCTAAGACAGAAAATTGTACAGTAAATGAAGGTAAGTATTATAATAAATACATATATTTAAATAAAACAGTTAATAATATATTGTCTGTATGTCCAGAATCTATTCCCATTATTTCACTATCAGATTTGAAAGACATTATTAAAGATCCAGCAAATAGTTCTGAAAGAATAATTCAAATTAACAAATTAAAAGAAAAAATAGACAAAATTGTACAGGAAGATTGTTGGGACCTAGACGATATCCTATTGGAGCACAATTATGCTGATTCTATCATACTTGATTGTGTTGTTTATTTTTTGGCTGGGTAGCTATAATTCAACATAAAACTGTACAAATTTTAAAATAAGTATTTATTTAATTGCTTATTATATATATATTTATACACATATATATATTTTTTGTACTAGGTATATTGCTAAGCGTTTAGTTAATAAAACTAAATGTGAAATGTGTGTAAGAGGATTAAAAACACTTAACACTTCACAAGATTGTATTGGTAAGAAAGCAGATTTGACTAAAGCAAAATCCAAAGGCAACTTGACAGCAATTTATTTATAATTATTAAACACATTGAAAATTATTTTGCAATACATGCTAATTCAATCAATGTATATGAAGAAACTTTTAATGAATTTTTCAAACTCAATATAAAATTGAAATTTGCATGTACTAACTCTCAACATCAATCGGATATGTTAACAAATATTTTTATTTATTATATCACGATGCGTATGAAACAATACAGCTACATGCAAAATCAAAAAAAATCAAAAAATTAATAAAACAAAAAAAAAGTTATCTAAATTAGTAAAAACGAATCATCAATATAATTAATAAAATAATGTAAATTAAATATTTGTAATTTTAAAATATTAAATTGTAAATTGTTATTATTAAACTGATCAACTCATTAGTCATTACAGTGAAGTGTGATTTGTCTGCTACTTAATTACATATATATTAATATATTTAATATTATCCATAGGTATTCTATTTCTATATTCTATAGTTAACTTAGAATTTATTCAATTTTATTGTATCATACTTATTGTACATACATTGTATTAGTTATTAGTATAAAATTTTCTCGTTTGGAGCGCCCATAGTCAGTTCGGACACATAATTCAGATTAGAGATTCTTTTTGCCAGTCATGTTATTACATTTCGTCGTCTAACCAGTATTATCTTCAATCATGACTGATAGTATCACCTGTTTACTATTAATCACGATTAAAGATAGTATTAGATTAGAATTAGAACTGATAACAGTCACCACCGTCACAGTCACCTCAGTCACCGAATAAAAGTAGTGCACACATTGTACACTAGTACCAACTACTATATTGATATATTGCGAGTTCTAAGTCACCAAAGTCGCTAGTCACCATTTATTTTTGAAATAGTCGCAGTGACTAACAGTGGCACTGTTGTCGCGGCGACAAAGTAACGGTGACGTGATTTTACATTCATCACTAAATATAACATCATAACCGAATATCGAACCCGCAATGGTTCATTACTTTTAAGTATTTAATATTTACTCGGGAGAAGTGGATTTAGCATAATTTCACGAAATACTATGGATTACTCAATATCTAGATCCACTAAATATTTTATATACTTTATATTATATTATAATATTTAACTTTACGTACCTAGTTGATATCCGATTTCTATGCATACGAATTTCAAAAACAATTCGTAAATATTTTTTTTTAAATGTTATGACGCGTATTAACCATATACCTAGTAATGAATAATTCAAACTAAGTATATTTATAAAAAAAATAAATAAAAAAATACGTTTAAAAAAAATAAATATTCATCGGGCGAGGAGATAAAGAGTATTGAAGTATTACGTCAGCACATTTTTTAAGATTCTTGATCCTCATCCACTCATGTCAGTGTACTTCAGACAGTGGTGATTCTTCTTCTTATCTTACGTCAATGTTTTTCGTAGACCCTGCCTACCCCTAAATTATTTTATTCTTATTAATAAAATTAATTTCTTCAATTATCAAAATAATGATAACTTTAAGAATAATAAGATTCTTATAGTCACGTCTTCGATGCTTTCTGTAATTCATGGACTCTTGCTTTTTCCGCGCATTAATTTTAATTTTAATAGATATAGTGTTGATTTCAGATTTGAGATTTAGTTCCATCCTCTATTATAAAGTGCGGTCAGATTTCTTTACTCCCCCCTCCCCGGTCTGCTTACATAGTACTTGAATATTCCTGTATGTAAAAAGGGTAAAACGTTGAGAGTTATTATCCCACACAATATTATGTTACCACATAATATTATGGCGTAAGCGATAAATAACGTGTAAAAACATATTAATGTTATAACCAACATTGTGCCGTATCAATGCAACGTTTAGAGTCCACGGGCTGAACTATCGAAAGTGAGGGGAAAAACATCCCCACCGTTGTTATAGGCGCACCTCGATGTCTGTATGGGGTAAAAATGTATTGATAAAATACAACGATATACATATGTACTACGAAAAGTATGTAGCATATATATCTATATAAATATTTACAAGGGAAGAAATTATTATTGATATTATTTTCGGAAACCCGATTGCTTTACATCAGTAATAATAATATGGTGTTTTGCAAATTTTATTGTGACCAATCATGAGTATTTTTTTTTTCTATTAGTTTTCATTTAATATAGCAATTATGTTTCAATAGTTAATACAAAATTAATTTAAAAATGTGACTTTCCTTTTTAAAAAAAAACTAATTTTTTTTCAAACTATCTAACAATGATAGTTTTAATTATGCGTACATAAAATACGCCGTGTTAATATTGTATAAGACATTTATTTAGTTTTTGTTTCTTATATAAGATCATCTCGATAATTTATACTTTGTCTTTTGTTGGTCCACGTCATAGCATAATTAATTTACTCTTTTGAAACAAATTACCCAGTAATAAAACCGAGTAATAAATTTTATGTACACGTAGATTATATAGAAAGTAATTCTAGAGATACGAATATTAACTTGCGGAAAAAAAAAGTAATTGAAATAAAATAATTGATAAAATAAAATGAGAATTATTTTTAATAAAAGGATTTAGCTAAGTGATTTTATCACTGATATGAAGTTAAATATGTTCATATTGGAAATAGTGTCAATGGCCACTCTCTTCTCTCATACTATTCTGCCTAGTTGAAAATTTTCATCACAATTACTCATTGTACTAAACTGTATATATATATAGTATCTTTTTTAATATTAAATTTAATTAAAAAAAAAAAAAAAAAAGATTTATTATGATTCTCTATATCAGAAAATTCATATACATTATGATAACGCATAACTTAAAAAAAACCATAACTAGTAAAAACTATGCAAGTAAATTTATATTAACAATCAATTTTAAATAACTATAACAAATTCTACGAAAAAAAGATAATTTGAACTATTATTTATTTCAATCAGTTCAAAAGTATTTGCTAAAGGTATTAAGATAAATTTACTATTTTTTGCTTGGTAAAAATATACAAAATTATTAAAAATTCATTTTTTTTTTAATTCCGATGTGAAAAAATGTTAAGTCATTTTATGAAAAAGCGATGATGGTAGATAGTGTACGTATTAGAAAATATAATAAAAAGTTCAAATTTTGATTCATTTAAAGCATTAATTTTAAAAATAGTAGCGAAACTAAATTTTCTCTCTTTAATTCATAATCATATTCAGTCCTACGTCTGAATAAACATCAGGTTGTTAAAATCAATTTCTTCGACTGTAAAATATGTTGAATTACAATTATATTCTAAGGGATAGATTTTAAAACAGTGTGGGAAATCGACTAATTTGTTAAGCTCTACATTATATTACTTCGACAACATTGTTTTTGATTTAAAAAAATCATTATCAAGTATTTAGTAGACAACTATAGACGTATTTTATTACGTAAAATATCTGAATTACATAGCAAAAGAAAATGGAGTTGATGATGTTAATATTTAATATTACAGGAAACGTATCCATACACGCAGCTATCTAAAGTTGTTACGAAAACAACAATAAATAAGTATTACGATCAAAATGGTTTCGTTATTATTGGCGAACGCAGACGTTATCTCGAGATCACTAAAGTATAAGTATAGTCCGATAGGTTAGATTTAAAATAATACATAATTGGGTTATCTGTAGAATTATTAATATGGCAAAATGAAAGTCGGTCGCTCGTTCTTCAATATATAATAACGAATTTTTGGAAAATAATATCCATACCGATAGGACATAACGATTTGAATGGATATTGTTTCATTTATAAATGAGAAAATAAAATTAAACAAAGACAGTAAAGGTACAGTGTAAGATACGGTAAGGTATGGAAAGATACTTATTGCAGAGAGTATAATATTATAAAGATAAATTTACTGAAGTGATGAACAATGATTTTATCAAAGAATAATTATCTGAAGCCATTAACATAAAAAGTAACTCAAATAACGTTATTAGTGATCTAAAATATAATTAAAAAGATATATTTGATGTACCTAGTTCTAAATTCTATTTTTACTAAATTAATGTACACATACAAACATACACACACACACACACACACAGACACACACACATATATATGTGTATAACGATTTAATTTGAAATGGTTCATTTAAAATATTAGCGAGATCAAAGTGTTTTTAGATGATTGCTATTTTATCAATGAGGTTTAAAATAATTTTAAAATACAATTATTGTATTCGACCTATTTTGGTGTACTAATATTCTCAGTGAAATATAAAATCCAAGATCTTATTAAAAACAAGACGGTATCAAGATTTATTTAAGTATTAGCTTCATGATTATTCACGAAATTTTTACGATCCTATAATATAACAATTAAATTATTATTATTTTTGAATAAGTCAAAGAAATTTCCAAAACACCTATATATAATAACACCATTCCTTTGATATGAATATTACTTAACATAGATAAATATAGTGACAGAAACGAAACACAATAAAATAATAAAACAATGATGATAATTTCACTTATGATTGGATAAAGAAAAATAGGGCAAAGTTAAATAATGAAATAATATATTGTTGGGTAAACAATTTTTTTTAGCACGTATATTACCATTAGTATAAAATAATTTGTACAAACCTATATATATCATTTTAAATTATAATTTCTCACGAATATGTATATTTTTTTACTATACATGAATGAGATATTGAAAGACCGCATTGTACTGTTTGATCTTCATACCGCACGCCTGCACTACAATACGATGTTTAAGAGTTATATAAATAGATTGTTCTTTTTTTTT